TCATTCTAGTCAGACTTGCAGCAGCTGCTCATGACAATATTGTCCTTTCATGGGTCCATAAACCAGCCTTCACATTTCCAGTTCTGCCCAGGGGAGACCACAAGCCCAGCCTTTCTCCTCCCTGCCCCTAAAATGACACTGGTGGGTTTCGGCTGACAGGCCTCCTGGAGGTGGGTTCAGTCACAAGATGTCTGGGTGGGGTGAGCTCTGCAGCCGGCTCACGAGGTGTAGGCTGAGGGATTGTCTAAGGTCCTGGCAGTGTGGAGAGCTGATCAGGGCTGGGTCAAGATGATGCAAGTCTCCCTATTATCCCAGTCTGTGATAATGAAATGTCTCCTTTTCTCTCACTGGAAACCAGGAGCGGATCAGCCAGGTCCTGAAGGATTTGGAAGAGGACCACGTGCCTATTGTGAAACTGGGTGATGCCAGCATCGCTGCTCCCTTTACATCGAAGCTCTCCTCCATTCAGTGCAGTAAGTAGCAACAGGGGAGCAGGTCTGCGCTGTAGGATTGCCCCTCGGCTGGTGACCCGTCCTACTCCGATAAGGAGAGCAGCCTGGGCGCATCTCCAGTATGAATCAGAACAGGCCCTCGCAAAGGCAGGAGGGCTTTGGGTGGGGTGGGGAAAAGTGATTCAAACACTGACTCTTATTGGGAGGAAATGCCTAAAACATGAGGCCAAGAGGGTGCTTCCCGTATTCCTAGCTTTCATTTCCCCCGATGGATTTCCCAGCTTGGAGATGGAAACTGAGTGACCATGGCCCACTGGGATCAAGGGAAAGGTGAGCTCTAGGCTCATAGCAGCTCCCCCGTGCTGGGTCCCAGCGAGTGGAGGGGGCTGTGCCGATGGAGCCACAGAACTTGCTTGCATCCTGAGGACAAACTGCTGTTTCCTCTTGCTCTTCAGTCTGCCACGTGATCAAGCAAGGTCGCTGCACGTTAGTGACCACGCTCCAAATGTTTAAGATCCTGGCCTTAAATGCCCTGATCCTCGCATACAGCCAGAGCGTCCTTTACCTGGAAGGAGTGAAGTTCAGTGACTTCCAAGCAACACTTCAGGGTTTGTTACTGGCTGGCTGCTTCCTCTTCATCTCCAGGTCAAAGGTATGTTGCGCGGTGGCCTCCTGGACCTGGGAGTGCTTCCAAAGGAGGGAATGGGAAGGGTGGTGGTTGTCTTGTGAGGAATGTGGTAGGGAAAGCAGCTCTTCTGTTCTTACAGTGAGTGCTGTCCAGCCCGTTCACTGCCTGCCCAGAATGTCCAGTGAGTCACTTCGCTCTTCCCCGGATCCTGGCTATGGGAGGCCTTTCTGAGGCCAACACATAGCACTTTAGGGAATGTCTAAGAATGAGATCAGACAGTGCATTTCTGTTCAGTGTGCCAGCGCACATGGTCAGATGCAGGCATTAATCACCTGGGATACACTGTTGCCTGCAGTATGCAGCTGAAGGTCTCACTGTGTGAAGGGGAATTTCTAAGAGCTGGGCATTTCATGGGCACAGTTGACACAGGTGGGATCTTGCTGGCAGCTTGGCCAGTGGCGCCAGCTTCATCGTCTTCGTACAATATTTCCATCTGTTAAATCCTGGTGTCTCTTTCCTTTGGTTTCCAGCCTCTGAAGACACTTTCCAGGGAGCGTCCGTTACCCAATATCTTTAATCTCTACACTGTTCTGACTGTGCTGCTGCAGTTCCTCGTCCATTTCCTTAGCCTGGTGTATCTGTACCATGGCGCACAGGCTCGCAGCTCTTCCAAGTGAGTGCTGCTTGTTTCTGAAGTACAGAACATTAGCACCTATCTTCAGGCGGTGACTGAGCACCAAGTTGTTAAACTGGATGGGCAAATCCCATCTGGGAAGGAAGGTGTGGGAAAATCTGCTGCCTTCATGGTGATTTTCCTTCTTATTTTCACTTAGAAGCCCCTGCCTGCTTAATCTTAAATTTGGTAGGAAGGAGGGAAATATGCAAAAAGGTGGATTTGATTTGCAGGTCAAATGAAGGTCACCAGACAACTTAGCAGAGTTGAGCTGAGAACTCTTTATAGTAAGACTGGGTGGGGATCAGCCTGAGAGATGCTGAACTCAGACAGAAGTTATGGGCTTGGTGCAGAAATTACTAAGTGAGAGTCTAGGGCCTTATGTTATGCAGGTCAGATTAGATCAGGAGTCTCCAAACTGTTGGACACGGAGGAACGTTTGGGGGGCGCAGCGAGGCCTGGGCCAGCCCCATGGGAGCGGGAAAGGACCGCCACCCAGCCCCGGTCTGCCCCCTAATCTGTTCCGGCCTGGCCTGGGCCCCGGCGGTGGCTTCGGCCCCAAACCTTGGCTCCCAGCTGCAGCCCTGGCCTTGGCCTTTGGCTTCCGGCCCACGGTTCCAGTCCTGGTTGTGGCTTCACCTGATCCCCGGCCACAGCCAGGTAAGAGGGGAGGTGACAGAAAACATTTGGGGACCACTGGACTGGATTATCACAATGGTTCCCTTCAAGGCTTTAAAATTTCATCTGATGAATTGGCCCTAGTCCCAGTTATTCTGAAATCCCAGAACTGGGCTCCATTGATCAGAAAGGGCTTTGTCTGGGTTTTTTTTTTAAGGAAAGAAGAGTTTGTGGATTTGTACAAGGAGTTTGAGCCCAGCCTGGTGAATAGCACGGTTTACATCATGTCAATGGCGATGCAGATGGCCACCTTCACCATTAATTACAAGGTAAGACGGGAAGGAACAAAATTGTATTTAAATTGTAATGTTACAGCAAAGCAAATGCACTTGTAGGAACTGAGCTGTTTGCAAATCTGAAACTTTTTTTTAAACCCATGTGGGCTTAGCAGTATGGCTGTGGGTGTGAGATACAATGATTTGTTCTAAATTATTAACTGCAGTATCACAGATGTAAATCCTTCAGTAGAGACATCCGTTGAGAGTTTGGAAAAAGTTTGCTTATGTACAACGTTAACTGTTCTGAATGCATCAAGGCGAGACCCCAATTGTACATCAGAGTATCAGTTCCCTGTCCGGGATACCAGAATTCCTGTCCTGTTTTTAAACAAGCTTGTGAATTTGGCGTTGAAAACTGCCTCCCACTGAACCTTGTGAAGATGAGCTGCAGCAGCTCTTCTGCTCTGATGGTGTCTCAATGCTGCATTTGCCATTTCAGGGCCACCCTTTTATGGAGAGTCTACGGGAGAACAAACCTCTACTGTGGAGCATTATCCTTTCAGGACTGGCCATTGTGGGCCTTTTGACAGGCTCCTCACCAGAGTTCAGTGAAAAGTTTGGGCTGGTGGAAATCCCCATGGAGGTGAGCAGGGACAGGATGGAGTGTTCCACGCTGGCAGACTCTTCTGGAGTAACTGCTATAGAAACCAATGCTATGGAACTGCTACAGCCAGGACTTTCAAAGTGGCCTGGAGAAGTTAGGTGCCCACTGATTTCAATGGTAGTCAGACACCTAACTCAACTTAGGCACCTGTGAAATTCCCAACTTCATGCTTCACTTACAACTCCTCAACACTCATTGGAAAGTAGCCCCTTGTACTGAAGACTAGACCCTCAAGGATTCTCTTGGACAGGAATCCGTTTGGGTTCTGAATTCCCCTGTGTACAAACCAAACTCAGCTCGCATCTAAGGGATTAGCCTAGATGACCCTTGCGGTGCCTTCTAACCCGGTGGTTCTATGATTCTAAGGGGTGTTTCTTTTTAAAGATAAAACTTGATTTAAAATAGACTCATTACATATGGAGTTCCCAAAACTCTGCCATAATGTGGCTTTTGTTCTCAGTGTTTGAGAACGATAACAAGCAATTGTTTTCAAACAGCTACAGCTACTTGTTCTAAATACTCTTAAACTAAGAACACCTGGGTTACTCTCCCCAACTTGCCTCTGTGGCTGGGTCTGACATTGAGGTTCTGAAGATCTGCCTCCTCCCTGAGGCACAGCAGCAGCCTCTCAGAACTTTCTGTACAGGTTTACTTAGCTTTAGACAGGTTTAAATTCCTGAGTAGTGCAGCTCTGCAGTTACTGGCTCACTGAGCTTTTCATGTCACCCCTGCTCTTCGCTCCTAGCCCCACAGAGCAACCCTGCACTGAGCTGTCTTTCCCCACCTCGAGGGAGACTAGACTTCTGGGTCTGGTCACATGAGGCAATGCATCCCTGCTTCCTTTGTGGCAGTGCAGAGCTGAAAGGGACTGGACTGTCCAGTTTGGTACTAAGTGCTTACTTGCCACCATTCACTGATGCTACGTATTGGTTCATTTATTTTGCTGAAGCCCCGCTTGCCCCTTAATAATCTCCCATTAAAAATAAGGTAGTTCTGTTGAAACTTCCAGCAGTTAAAACCTGTTGTAATGTTGTTTAGCCAAAAATAACTTATCTGAGCTGCTTCCCTTTCAGTTTAAGATTGTGATTGCTCAGGTCTTGCTGGCTGACTTCTTCCTCGCCTTGGTGGTGGACCGAATTCTTCAGTTTCTGCTGGGGAGTGCAAAACTTAAAGTGCCTTCCTGAAACATATTCCAAGCCTCCAACATCCCAGCAGTGCTGAGTATACAAGTGTGAAGGACAACACTGTGGGGACACACTTCCAGATTGCAAGAAGAATCTTTATTCTTTTGACAGTGACTTAACCCTGCTCTGGAGCAGGCCTGGGAAAGCCTTCTGATGTGCTCATTTGGAGACCACTTAGTATAACAATCAAGGCTGCATGGGGCAATACACTCTTAAATAACATTTCCAGGACGTGTGACATATTGGGAGTTTTGTATTGCCCTATGCTTGAAGAAGCGTTTACAGAATTTGGTAATTAAATTGGAATCAATGTATTTTAAAACACATTTGGAATTTCTTTTTGGGGGCTAGTAGTGTAAGAGCTCGACCTTTTGAGTAACTAACAGCTATTCCCCCTACATGAGTTCTCAGGTTCAGACACTTAAATTAGAATCCCTCAATTTATGAAAGAAACAGCCGGAATAGTAGCTAGGTTCACTTAGTCATAAATATGCAAGGAGGGCTTGAACAAAGACTGGTTTTAATTAGTATGACAATATCAGCAACATATCTTTAAGCCCTTAGTTTGCTTAGTATTTCTGCTGTATAAAAAGTTGTCCTTGAAAATAAAAACAAAGTTACCTTACCAGGGGCAACATCCAGAAGGAAAAATGTTCACTACCCAATGTTCATTAATCTTTAAACACAGACTGAACAAAACATTAGTGTCTTGCTGGCTGCTACACAAAAGTAAAACCTAGGGCAAACCCCCGAAAACTTGTGCAAGATGTTTACCAGATAACATCAGTATGTCTTCTCCCCCCCCAAAAAATAAATCTTAGCTTCCATGGAGAACTCAATGCAGGTGACAGTGGAATACTGGACACTATAGTAAAATATAAACAGCAGCGAGTTTTAGACCCAGGGTCAGCTGCCTGGCTGCAGGTTTAAAAATTGTAGTGTAGATGTTTGGGTTTGGACTGGAGCCCTGGCTCTGCAACCTCATGACTCGGGGGTGCGGGGTCTCAGAGCCCAGGGTCCAGCCCAAGCCTCTCCACTGCTGTTTTTAGCCCACCAACCCAAGCCAGCTGTGGCCATGCCTGGGTCTTTTATTGCAGTGTAGACATAGCCCTAGGCTGCAAGCATAAACGCACTTATTTGATTTTGCTTGTGAATATAATCTATCAAAACTAGAGAGCACCAAGTGAATTACAGATTTAAATATTACAAAATGAGAAGGCAGAAGCAGAGTTCATTCAGTTCTTTACAGGAGTGTCCTTTAGAGAACTGAGTCCAGCACATTGGGTGGTGCAGTTTATGCACCTGTGGCAACAGACAGCCTCACTGGAATGATTTAGTAGGCAGAATGTAACTTTATCTGCTAGAAGGGACATGTACTCTGTGCTGCTCGATGCTAACAGATGCTGGGTGGTAGTCTGGCAGCCGCAGTCCTTTCAACTACAAAGGCATAGTCATACTGAAACAAAACACAAGGGTTATAGATAGAAAATGCTACTTCACTCTCATAACTGTTGGTACATACAGAACTCATGTTCAGCCACTCGAAAGCTGCCATCCTTTTGTACTCCAACTTGGTATTACTAGTGAGAACAGAGGGCAGGCTGCAGTGAATTACTTACCTCCTTCTCAATGTCAGAAAGAGACTTAATGTTCAAGTCCGTGAAGATGGAAAAGGCCTACAAAATAGAGATAACTACAATAGGTAATATATTCGTGTTGTCCTAGCAGCTTCCTCTTCCCCTGGTTGTTTATCCTGTAGAACTGTTTGCAACACCCAGGAACCTGAAGACTTTTGCCACATGAACATATACAGAATCATCAACTCGTGGGACTACAACCCTCTTACTCACCCCTGAAATAGCAATTTCATTGTAAGGAATTGGTATAATGTCCTTGTAACTTATAGTGATACTCACATTAGTCCTAGTAGTGAGGCTGCTTTCAAATCTGGGGTGTAGTGCGAAAGGGACCCCATCCATGGCTGAGAAAAGAGAAACGCTCATCAGAGAGCTGCAGATGAATAATACTATGAAAGCATGGCGTTGCAGTGCACTGGCAGGCCTGTAAGGAAAACCTGGGACAGTCCCTCAACTGGTGAATGCGAACCTGTGAATTGCCAGAGGGCTCGAAGAGTGAGTGAGAGGAAGGCCCAGCTGGACTACCTGATCCTGTTCCTGTAACATCGTGTTATGCCACTCCACTTATGAGAAGGAACATGCGATAGAATACCCAAACTGTCGCATAACCCTGTCCAAGTGGCAGAGGTTAGAAATTCCAACCCCAGCCTTTCTGATTACATCATAGCGTTGACTGAATTTTTTTTTTTTAAACTAAGCGGAAGAGAAAGAGCAATACGACATTAAGCAACTAATATAATGTGGCGTGTTTCTCCTAAGCTAGTTGTCAGACATTGTACTGAGGAGGGATTCATTTACCTGAAATGCCATAGAGGTTAGATGTATCATAAATGGAATCATCGCGTTTGAGGGATACATATTTTGAGCCAATTCTAGTCAAAGACTTTTCCGATGAAATTTCTGTCCTGCAAGGGATTAGACAGTTTACAAATTGAGGCCCTGGAGTTTTACATTTGCAAAACAGCATCAAAAAGAGAAAAAAAAATTTATGTGAAATGAAAAATCTCCCCCTGCAGCAGCAACTGCTGCCCTTGAGCTCCCAGTTTCAGACATTGCCAGCCAGGACACTGGCACGCAGGGTGCAGAACAGCTCAGAACTGGCCTAGCCCCCACCATCATGACAGAGGAGCCGACAGGTCAACGCTGAGTGCCACTGTGATCCCTGTGTGCAAGGGGCCAGTCGCAGAAGCCAGACAGCTGAGCCCAACAGGAAGAGTGCTGTGTAGCTTCAAAACTTGTCCCGCTCACCAAAAATGTCCACACCCCCCTCATCTTGCTAATATCCTGGGAGCAACAATACTGCAAAATACTCTAAGATTCATTAGTGCCTTACACCAGAGCTGTGCCCTTAAAGCTATGCAAACAGTATCCTTCCATACAGTCGCAGTCCCACCATGAATGAGGCATTTCCTGTGTGTGCAAAGGGGCTCAGGGCAGTGCTCTTCACTATTTTTGAAGTGGGGGCCATTTTGGCAAAAATCCTTCAACATGAGAGCCACATCAGCCCGACACACAGTTGACTGCTCCGGCTTTGTTGGTTGATATAGTAATAGTACCATTATTGGTAATAATGCTTGCGGTGTGGGCTCTGGGAGGGGGTTCAGGGCAGGGACTTGGGGTGCAGGAGGGTTTATGGGGAGCTGGCTCCAGGAGGCTGCAGGTTGGGTGGTGGAAAACCTATTCAGAACCTGCCCATTAAAGGGGATGGCATTTCGGGCGGTCCCAGCCCCACGCCGCTCCTGGAAGGGGCCAACGCACCCCTGCAGCCCCTGGGGGTGGGGGCATGTGGCTCTGCGTGCTGCCCCTCTCTGCAGGCATCACTCCCACAACTCCTGTTGGCCACAGTTCCCGTCCAATGGGAGCTATGGGGGCAGTGCTTGCAGCGCGGCGCAGCATGGGGCCAGAGAAGGCAGGGAGCCTGCCTTAGCTGCAGCCCCCTGCCACCGGAGAGTGTGATCGACAGGGACCCACACTTTGGGAGCCGCCACTGGCTTACCGGTTGAGCAGCGAAGAACACCGGGCTTAGGTATTTTGCACAACCCGGGG